CGACAGCTCCCACCACCGGGACAAAGTACCTACATGTTATTCACTGCCTCCCCCTTTCCATGTAACTAACTACAAAACACGACATGCCACTTTAAATATTTTTTTTGACGTATGTGTTATCATCTAGTTTTCTATAAAATGTGTTTTCTAATAGATTTACAATAAAGATAAGACTTTTTAACCTTTAATTTTACTAGATATTAAATAATATTTTTTTAGTCTTGTACAAGAATTTATTCTTACTATCTTCATCCTTTATATCCGTCTTCAACTTATTTTGAAATAATAATTTAAAATCTGTAAATTATAGATACTTACCCTCATTTGTAACGATTCCATCATTTTCATTTTTGTTAGTTTCAATTAAAAAAGGAACATTATCATTTTTTGAAATTAAAATGTTTTCATTTTTACCAATATTGTTACCTACATTAACATTGCCAATATTGTTTTCAACATCAATATTATTTTTAAAACAAACATGACAAACATAATAAATAAAAAAAAAATCATCTTCAATGAAAATTCTTTATAATTTGTTATTAATCAATATAAATAATACATTTTCTTTACATTGTCACTTACGTCTTGAAGACTTTTTGACGTAAAATTGACAGGCTGTAATAATGTATATGCTTTTTTCAGTGCATCCAATCTCGTATACAAAATCGAAAATATACAAATTTGATATTGATTCTAAACTATTCAAATACAGAGTCACTTTATTATCTGGTAAATTAATTAATTCTGAAGTAGGAACAAGACATTCATCTTTCTATGACAATTTTTTATTTTTATTTTCATTCAAAATAGTTCATAAAATATAAAAAATTGCTATATTGCTAAATGTTACTCTAAAATATTTTTATTCAACTTTTTTATCATTGGTTAACACAAGTAGGTACTGTCACTAAAATGTGTATCAATTTTCACCAAAACTAATGAAAACGATTATTATGAATTCTGGTATTTAACACCCCTGGTGAACACCCCTATATCATAAATTGTTATAGATACAAGAATACGTTGTTTATACAGGGGTGAGTCAGGAGGAGCGCACCAAGCTCTAGGAGTATATTATACACGTGAAAATAATGTAAAAAAAACTGTTCTTATCCGATTTTCATTTGTTTTCAAGTTATAGCATATTAACAAATAAACAAATTTACACATAAAAAATTCTCTTATTCTAAATTTGAATAAAGTATCTGGCATTTTGCAACACTAACAATTACATAAATTCGAATTAAACGTTCAGTTACTGTTCACTGTACACTGACAGTTAATCAAACCGTCAGAATTATCAAATGCCTTTGAGCCTTGAACATATGGCATACTTTGATAATGTTAAAATTCAGAAGTGGAAGGCTAGATGAACATTTTTTATTACGCCATAACTTGAAAACAAATGAAAATCGGATAAGAAGACATGAGTTTTTTAAATTATTTTCACGTGTATAATATACTCCTAGAGTTTGGTGCGCTCCTCCCGACTCACCCTGTATATATATTTTTTTCGTCAAAATGACGTAAATTGGGAAAGAATGTTATATCAAAAGCTGCGGGCCTAGATGGCCTTTAGAACTGATATTAACCGGTCCAGGTATTAGACCGGAATCGCTTAGCAGGTGAGCTCTTTCAAACTGATAAAAAGAAAGTAGGAATACAAATTCTTAAAGCTTAAAAAAAAGTGATATTAAAATGTTTGCTTTGTTTTCTATAAAAACTAAAACAAATTTTGAAACAGTGGTTCCAGCGGAACACAGAACTTTATTTACAAAAAAAGTTATCTAAAAAAAATGTTTCTGAAGTAGGCCATGATCGAAAAATATAAAGATACGATTCATGTCCCATGTCCGTAATAACTACGAACGATTCTGAATTAAATTCAAAACAAAACTTAAAAAGAAAAATAATTTTAATGCTCCGACATCGCGTAAATTTTTCTAAATCCAACTTTAGAAACATTTCTTTGAATAATTTTATATTTTTGCTTTAACTTAAAATTAAAAAAAATATATTTTCAAAATTTTAAATGTCTATATTTTCACTTAATCTTCTAGACAAAGATAATTGGCAATATAAATCTATTCCTCTCACCCTCTGTAAACAATAAAAATCTGTATTCCTCATTTTGGCAAAATCTGTGCTGATGTCAAATTAGCGTAATTAAATCATTGGAACCCAGCGTTTGAGCGAGACAGATTCACGATTAAAATTATAGTTTTGTTTTGTCTGTATTACTATTGTTAATGTTTTATGTTAAAGGACAAAAACAATAATTAAAGTCAGAGATTTAGTGTTTTAAACGGATGATATAGTTTAAATTAATACCCTCGCCAACCTTTTTTTTTATTTAGAATACAACAAAACAAACAAATAAAGATATAATATATCTCCTTTTATAGGCATCTCTATAATACCTACAACTTCTCTACATAACATTTTTCTCTCCGTAAAATAGATTATTCTAAAAACGCACAAAGTGGAATCGATAATATTTCGGAACAAGTCAAACGCTGTAAACAATTTTTGTACAGACCGCATACTTTGTATCGTAATATTACCGTTTTCGCACGTGTTGGAACAAACCTATTATACCACTATACGCGCGAACTCATAGAAAAGAGATTTGTTGTAAAGATCTGTAAAAATTCTTCGAGTCAAACCTTTTGAAGGGCAAATTTCATGGGCCCATCTTGACAACGTCGCAGGGACTCGTATGTATATTGAAAAAGTAATTTATAAACAGAAGGCCTCTCATGTCAGTTAAACATTGTTAAGGGACTCGCATGCACGTTGCAAACATGTATGTTTAAATTTTAGAAATATATTACCCCTCTTGTGGCGTTTATAATTTAACATTATTAGTACATTCTAAAACATTAAAATATATATTCAAAAAATCACTCCTTCAGGAGGGCCCTCGGGTGGTGTGTTGACTACATCGGGCCTCGCTTTTGTATTTGGCTACGTATATATATATATATATATATATATATATATATATATATATATATATATATATATATATATATATGTTTTCTCTTTTAATTGTAAATAGGCTGATAATCACATGAATCCGTATATACAAGAATATAATTATCAACCCATAAAAGCATTACAAATTAAAAATGTAACAGATTTTAATCAATTTATTTCGAAGGATACAAACTGTTTTAAAATATTTCACACAAATATTCGAAGTGTTTATAAAAATGCTATTTAATATCTAATGTAGCCAAAATCCTTGAGAAAGCTATCAAAACGCGTATAATAAAATTTCTAAATAAATTTAATGTTCTTTCTAATAACCAGTATGGATTTAGGGAGGGGAGATCGACACAAGATGCCATACATGCATTAACTTCAGAAATATATTCCTCTTTAGATAAATCTAAACCATCACTTTGTATCTTTGTCGATCTCTCCAAAGCCTTTGACACGGTATGTCACAGGAAATTACTAGAAAAATTGAATCAAATTGGAATCCGTGGCAATGCATTAACATTATTTGAGAGTTACCTTTCTGGTAGGGAACAGGTGGTAAATATTGAGGGTACAATAAGTTCTCCAAAAATAATTACATACGGAGTTCCTCAGGGAACGGTGCTAGGACCAATACTTTTTACTATTTACATAAATAATCTTATGATACAACCGTCAGTGGGTAAAATATTGAGTTTTGCAGATGATACTGTGATATTGTACCAAGACCATAACTGGAATGACTTGAAAAAAAATGCTGAAAAAGATTTTCAAAATATTATTAACTGGTTTAATTATAACAAACTAACTTTAAACTACGAAAAAACCAAGTACTTCCCATTAGCCTCTTATTCATGGACATCCAAGTATGGGACCTCTAACAGTATCCGATAAAATTAAGATTCCAGAAGCTTCGTCTATTAAATATTTAGGTATTGTCATCGATCGACATCTAAGATGGGACCTACATATCTGCAACCTAGTCATAAATTGAGAGGATTTATATCTAGATTTAAATACCTAAGACAATATTTAAACGTTACTCAATTAAAAATCATCTATTACGGATTAGTGCAATCGCAACTATCATATGGCATCATAGCTTGGGGTGGGGGTCAGTGATTCTTATCTAGAAAAGTTAAATGTGGTACAAAAATGGATACTAAAACTTATGTATAATAAAGAGCGTTCATACTCAAGTGATCGTCTGTTTCTGGATGCAGGAGTTCTAGATATAAGGCAAATATATTGTTTAACTCTCTTAACAAATATTCACAAGGGTAACATAAAATTAATACAAATAGAACATACCTACAACACAAGACAACTCACTTTCTCTATCCCACGCTGCAGTAAAACCATTGGACAAAGACATTGTAGCTTTATAGGTCCAAAATTATATACTTTAATTCCTGAAACTATAAAAATAATTAAAGAACACAATTTATTTAAATCTATGTTAAAAAAATGGTTATTAAACACACCCAGAAAATTGTTTTATACTTTATTAAATTAATTATTTAAATTTTAAAATAGATATAAATAACTATACTTACCCAAAATAAGACATCCAACCGAATATGACTAATACCCTCTTGTGACTTTCTCGCATTATAATGGACATTGACAAAAAAATCCCGGATTTGACATCACCCGATTTTGACGTTTTTAGCATATAATATACCTACCTAATAATATGTAACAATTTATTTAATTTTACATTATTGTTTAAAAAAAAAAAAACTTAAATTTGTCAACACAAAAAAAATTATTATTATAAATTATCACGTACAAGCGGTACACAATGTAAGTACTGCTTCTGTGAATTTGTATGTTTATTTATTTCTTGTCGTTTTTATGAATGTATTTTTTAAATGTATATTTCAGTAAATAAACATTATTATTATTATTATTATTATTATATTATTATTATTATTATTATTATTTTTAATGAAACTGTATAGAAACCCCAACGTTACACGAAAATGTGTTCAAGATGTGGTTGAAAACACCTATGAGTTGGTTACTGACGTTCTAAAAAATACTATGGCAATTATTTCTGCTAACACTGAAGCAATTCCACCTGAAATATTGAAAATATAATGTCGGATTTATCGGTAAATCCATTAGAGGGTATGCAATCCGAATATCATAGGTTTAAATATCTAGAATCTTCTTCTAAATTTATAAAAGCAGAAAAAGTTGAAATAGGTCGAGTTAGAGAGGATAAGCGCAAAAACGGTTCAGTACTTTTGGATCATAGATGGTGTTATGTACAATATAGTCCCCATACATAAATTATTGAAGGAATTTTTACAAACTGATAATATCTTTCAGGAAATTATGAAACATATTATTGAGGTGCGAACCAATTGGTCAGTGTCTTATTCAAGTATGTTTAATGCAAGTTTGTGGAAAAAAATTAGTTCTAAATTCGATAATAAAATATTGTTACCCATAATTATGTATTATGATGATTTTGAATGTGATAATCCTCTAGGGACGCAAGCCGGCATTCACAAACTTGGAGGTATTTATTTTACTATTGGGGGAATACCACCTCAGTTTTCATCAAGACTTGAAAATATATTTTTATGGGGACTTTTCTATTCAGCAGATAAAGTTGCTTTTGGAAATGCAGCCATTTTGAACAGATTCTTTATTCAGTTACAAGATTTGGAAAATAATGGAATTACAGTATTATGCAATGGAGAGAGCAAAACGGTATATTTCACCCTTTTTGCACTACTGGGCGATAAATTTAGGTGTCAATTCTCTCACAGGAATGTCAGACAGAAAGTTTTCGAGCTACATATTATTGTCGTTTTTGTTTTGCAAGTAAAGAGCAATGTGAAGTTATGTGTTCAGAAAATGAAGTTTATTTAAGAAACCCTAATAATTATTTACAACACGAACATGCTAAATCTTATGGAATTCAAGAATATTGCATAATGAATAATTTGAAATATTTTCATACAACATCTAATGTTTGTGTGGATATTATGCATGATTTGCTAGAGGGAGTATGTCGTTATGACATGGGTTATGTTTTATATGAGTTTATTTATAATAAAAAATATTTTTCCTTAGAAACTTTAAATCGTAGAATTAAATATTTTGATTTCCATCAAGGTGTAGATACTGGAAATCAAATTCCTCAACTAATTAAATTACAGATTAAAAAAAAACATCTTACCATGTCTGCTGCAGAAATGTTGGCATTAGTTGTTTATTTTCCGTTTTTAGTTACTAATTTTATTGACACTGAAGATACATGTTGGACATTTTATTTACTGCTACATATATGAAATTGTATATTTTACTATGAAACATGAAATTGATAAATCAGAACTAATATATTTAAAGCATTGTATAACAGAATACAATAGCTTGTTTATTGAAATTTTTAATGATAATTTAAGACCTAAATATCATATTTTAACCCACTATGTAAATATTATTAAGAAAATGGGACCTGTAAATGCTTTATCTTCCATGAGATTTGAGGCATTTCATAAAATAGGGAAAACCAATGCACATATTGTTACATCTAGGGTAAATTTATTACAAACTCTATCATTGCTGTATCAACTTCGTGTATGTCATCGTTTGCAGTTCAAAATTTGAATTTGGCAAAATGAAGTATATTGATGTGGATAACGTTGACCTACAGTTGAAAAATTTAATTGGTACTACTAAGGCATTCGAAGTTAAATGGACTAAGTTTAATGGCATAACTTTTAAAGTTGACACTGCTGCACAGTTTGTTGGCAACTTGGAATATCCAGTTTTTGGCCTTATAAATAATATCATATGTACAGAAAATAATAAAATATTATTTTCGTGTAAACAGGTAAAGGTTTTGCATTTTGATCCTACATTAACAGCTTTTATGGTCAGTTTAGATACTAATAAATTTGAATACATTTTTTTGGAAAATTTAGCTGAAATCCAGTCCTATAAAATTCATTTACTTCCTGGAGGACATTATGCAATAAATTTAAACAAGGTATAGATATTTATCGAGCACATAAGGACAATTGTCTTTTGTTAATTTTATTATACAGTGTGTCTACTTAAGTTGAATCCATATGGAAAACTTTTTTATTATTGGTTATATGAAAAAAAGTTTTTCTTCATAAAAAGTTCTGCATGGTCTAAAACCTAAAATACAACCATCATATATAAAATTTTATCAGTAGTATACGAGGTTTGTCAAAAAATATGATTTTGCCCATCCTTTATTTTGACCAATCTTCTATATGACTAATAAAATTTGATATCAGATGGTTGCTTTTTAGGTTTTAGATCACGAGCAACTTTTTATGAAAAATACTTTTTTTTTTCCTAAAATTGATAATAAAAGTTTTCCATATGCCGTCAACTGTCTATGTAAGTTTGCGGCATATCTAAAACTTTTTTATTATTCATTTTAGGAAAAAAAGTACTTCATAAAAAAATATACATAGTCTAAAACTTGAAATACAACCATTAGGTATCAAATTTTAACAGTCGTATATGAGATTGGTCAAAAATAAAGGTTGAACAATATGAATTTTTTGACAAACCTCGTATATCACTTTTACAATTTGATAGCTGATGGTTTTTTTGGGGTTTTAGGCCATGCATAACTTTTTATGAAGAATAACTTTTTTTCATAAATCCAAAAATAAAAAAGGTTTTCCATATGGTTCCAACTTAAGTAAACACTGTA